TGAATTCAAAAAAAATTCAACACAGATTTCTATAACGGAGGAGCAGTAAGGGCTTTAATTGGGATTTGTGACTGAGAAGTTCAGTTTTTATTATTTGATGCTGTGACGCCATGATTGACAGCTCTGTTGATGAATGAGGCTCCTGTAGCGCTGCGAGCATCGGATTATCAGAGAAGAGGAGGAACGCTAAGAGGAAACATGACGAACACAAGAGTCATTGAACATTTTCAAACTGACTTCCTGCTGAGAACTTTACCATCCTTTCAATTTTTTTTATCAGTAGCTGTTTTCACACATGCACTCCTTAAATATCTAGATGATTTCAGGAGGACTGCTCTGGATATTCTCCTGACCTGGCTGTTCAAATATGCTCCTCACAGCGGGAGACTATCCCTTTCAGACAGGAGGGGCGGCAGAGGCAAGCTGTGACGTCAAAAAACAACAACGAGGAAGTGGCAGGCAAAAAAAACAAAGTCTAATATACGATACTAAAATGAGAATATTTCCCTTTACGTCAATACTGTGTGTAGCTCAACAGAAACACAAAATCAACAAAAGAGTCGAGCAGCAGTCGGACACTCGGACTTATATACACAGGATCTGTCAGGAGAAACTCCAGGTGGAGTCAGAGGGAAAAATTCAGCTGTTCCTGGAAATATCAGGATTTTCTCTGGAGTTTTCTGCAAGTGTGAAAGCCCCCCCCCCAAAAAAAAAGTTATATGCATGTTTTGTGGCACTATTAATAGCCGAACATGTAAATATATTTGCAAAAGTTATTACAACATTTTTAGCAACAACAACACAGCAGCTGAGAATAAAACCCAGGAGCACGATGAATAATAATCACAGGTTTTGATAGTTATCTATCTCAAAAACAAAAGGTTTTTTTACGCCTCATTCATTGTGTACTTGTTGTGTTATTAGTGCTTTTTTGTGAGGGGAGGGGTGAGTTAGTGGCTGCAGGTCCCAGAGCAAAAAATGTTGCCTATGAAAGGAGCCTTGACCTCTCTGACCAAAAGCCCGTAAGGTGACAAATAATGAATATCAAGGGGAAACTTAGATGTTTGGATGATGGTGAATAAAAAGACGTTTAAGTAAACACAGGGTCGACCTGACAGCCCACGCAGGATTCTGAAAACCCTTCACAACAAACAGAGTCAAGAGGAGCTACCTCCAACATTCAACATCAGACTCTGAGTTCAGTCACTTTCTCAGGATGTGGTGTGATCCTGGACATGAAGCCCAGCGTGGTTAAAGTCTTCCTCATACACTGGACACGTTGTTGCGCGTGAGGGCGTGCGTCTCCGATGGCGGCAGGTCTTTGGGGCTGGATTTATCCAGGACAGATATCTGAGTGACCGTGCTGCTTTCAGTGAAGAGGGTACGCCGTCGTTTACTGTAGCTCAGGTAGCTCTGAGTCTGCCACTTCCAAATCCTCTTCTTCAGCTCCGCCTGCACCTGAAAGAAACATGATGCAACATTTTAACTCAAGGAGTTAAATCCCTTATAATGTTGGAGCCAAAAGCTTTTTTTTAACCTGCCAAGAGGACATATTACCCCCCTCCTCCACCTTTTCAAACAGTCCCCTCTTCCACCTTTTCAAACAGTCCCCTCTTCCACCTTTTCAAACAGTCCCCTCCTCCACCTTTTCAAACAGTCCCCTCTTCCACCTTTTCAAACAGTCCCCTCTTCCACCTTTTCAAACAGTCCCCTCCTCCACCTTTTCAAACAGTCCCCTCCTCCACCTTTTCAAACAGTCCCCTCCTCCACCTTTTCAAACAGTCCCCTGTGGTCTAAATAAAACATCTGTTCTGTGCTTTGGTCAAAATATAACATGAATCAAGCACCAGAGGAGGTTTGTGACCCTGTAGAAACCAGCTCTCTCAGAACGCTCCGTTTTGGTGTGTGTGTCTCTTTAAATGAAATGATAACTGATAACATGATATGTTCACAAACACTGTACAAGTGGATTTTTAATAATATGTCAGACGGTCTAAGCTAGTGACACGCCCCCTGCACACAATATGAAGATTTTTTTTATTGATATTTATGGTCTTGGTCTTGACTCGGTCTCAATCCCTAAATGTCTCGGCCTTGGTCTTGGTTAGTGTGCTCTTGACTTTGGACAACATTAGGTTTGCTTTTAAAGAGTCACTACACGTTAAGTTCACTCTGCTGTCAAGACGTTTGAACTGGAAATGAAATAAACTGCACAAAAAGAATGATTGAAGAAAAATAATCACAATTACATCAAAATAAAATACTAAATACTGATGTTTACTTACCTCACCATTCAGGAAACAGTAGAGCAGGGCCACAACAAATCCCTTCAGAGCAGAAACATGTTCAGTATTAAATAGTAGTCATATAGAATACATCCTTTTTAACTTGTCTGTGTGTGTTTCCAATAGATCTGTGTGTTCTTGTTATAAGACAGGTTGATGATCACAAAGGTTCACCTTCTCTAACTTTGTGCCCGTGTTGTGTATTACCTGAAAGGATCCCAAACCAAGCTCTATAAAGAGCCGAGCCTCTGCGCCCGTGTTCTCGGGCAGGAAAGCAAACACCATGTAGTGCATCCCGAACAGAGGGATGAGGAGCAGAGTGGATTTAGCCAGCCGCCTGCACACACACACACACACACACACACACACACACACACACACACACACACACACACACACACACACACACACACACACACACACACACACACACACACACACACACACACACACACACACACTGATGAGAATGGCGAGAAACAAACCCATGAGGGAGACATATAAGGTGCGTCTGCAGCTCATCTTCTTAAAGGCCTTATATGTGATTTTTTGATCCAGCAGATGTCGCCCTTGAGCTCCAGCATGAAACCAAAACAACTGCCGCTGCATTGTTGTGTTAGCATGCTAATGCTAGCGATCTTTATTCTGCTGGTATCTTCACACTGCATGTAAATTTACCTGAAATGAGCGTGATCTAGAAACACAGTTAAGCAGTGAGTACAGTATGTTATTCTTCTTTTCTCTAGTCCCTCAATTAAACAACTTTTATACACGAGGGGAGGAGTCAGCCGGCCGTCCTGGCGATGTAAACAAAGTGAAGATAGGACTCTGAAAACTCTGAAAACATCACAGACAGTGGGACTCGGGTGTTACACCCATTGTAGACAGTCATGACTCACAGAGTTATTTTCAGAGGAGATATTTGATTTCTACATTTAAGTGTGAAAAATCACATATGAAGTCTTTAAGCCTCATTCATTCTCTGCTCACTTGAAGTGACTCGTGTCGTTGCCGCCGACACCAGGAGACGTCAACTTCTGGACCAGAATGCGGATCACGTTGATGAAGATGATGAAGTTCACCTGCAAGAAACAAACACACAAAAAAAAGTCACAAGGAGGCTGATCTCAGACTAACATGTGAGCAGCAGAGTGTAAATCCTTCCCTCTGAAGCTTGTCACTTTTCAACATGTTGCTTGTAGCTTGATATTTAATTTTTTGAGGCATGCTTTAAACAGTTATCACTGAATAACTCAAGTTTGTTTCAACCTCCATCTCTAAGAAACGACACCAAACAAAACGAAACGCCTGGCAGGAAACATGGAGTTCACTGACAGCTAAAGTTAGCTGCCAAAGACAACGAGTAGTTTCCTCTCTGCGATGCAGGAAATGAAGGAACTCTTCTTCACTTGTTGTTGTTAAATGTAAAATAAAGGACAAAAAAAAACAGGCCTGCTCCATCACTCAGGACTCTTATAATCCCTCAACTGTCTCCCAGTGTGACAGCTCTGTATCACAGACTGTTAATATTAATGTTTGAGGCCTGAGTGACGTCCCCAGTCTGTTCCTGCAGGGGGCGCTGGAGTCCCATCGATGGCGGTCTCCATGCTGGAAATGCTGTCTCAGTCTAACTTTCAGTCAACCTAACGACAGGCTGAGAGCTGGAGCTGAGGCGGGTTTTAAACCTCCTGACAAACCGTTACACCGCGCCCACCTGTCAATCAGGTCAGCTACACGCCTTATTGTGAATAACTCTTATCCTTCATCAAATCAAAACTGATGAGTCATCAAAACATTCACCCCCCGTACAGTGTGTGTCCATCCAGACATGAGCTAATCACACCTATTTGGTTTTTGAACCAGGCTGTAAACATGTTCATCTCTGCTGTAAAAACAGGCTTTTTAGAATGGGTGTGTATGTGACTTCCTGTGCTTCTGCAGCCAGCCTCTAGTGGACACTCCAGGAACTGCAGGAGTTTGCAACTTCAGCATCGGCTTCATTATTCAACACAGGAGGTTTAACCTCTCGCTCTGCACTCACCAGAAGTGACGCTGTTATCGGAGCCTTTATGATCCACCAGACGAAGGCCACGTCTGTGTCGTCCCAGCACCTGAGACACACAGCAGATGTCGTTTAGAAAGACGAGGCGATCACAGGAGGTGTAATAATGAACACGTCACCGTAGAACGCACGACTCACTGTCCCCGAGCAGAAGGCTGTCATAGAGGAAAACCTCGAGGGGAAAGAGTCTAAATCTAACCCCGAGATTAACTCTGAGGATTCTGCAAAAACAACCATGCAGACTTCATATCTGTACAGATTTACACTCATCATGCAATCACTCCAGCAGCTCACCCCGTGTTATCGTAGAAGTTTCGAGTGAGGATCCACACTGTTATGATTGTCGTTGGGAGACCTGGGGGGGGGGGGGGGGTCACAAAGAGACCGGATCAGTATCACAAGTCCAAGCAGAGTGCTCTACAAATAGAAAAGGAGGCCGTGCATGTTGACAGGCTAACCCCAGCCGATGAGTATGTACCACCAGAAGTATTTCTTCTGGAAGACAAAGGTGAGAGCGAGCAGCGTCTGCAGGTACATCCCCTCCACCAGCAGCCAGAAGTAGTTTGCCAGGATGCTAAACTGGAAGAAGACCACTGCTGATTTACAGGACGCCTGTGAAGGGAGAGAACCACATGCCAACAGTTATGCATAACGTTGTGAGATTACAGAAGAATCCTCCTCTGGGATGTTTTCATTGGATTTTGGATCATTAATAAATAATCTCTGTGTTAAACACACGTTTCTGAAGCGTAGGCGTTTTGTTCAGCAGGATAATATTCACAGATGAACGCCATTTTTATGATGTTTGAAGCATTAATGCGGCCGACAGAAGTAAAAAGCTAACGTTATGCTAAAGCTAAATACACCACGGTGGGATGGTTGTGACATCACTAGCGTTATGCTTCAGACGATCTCCGATAAACTAATCCACGTAGCTTAATAAATAGTTTACTAACATAATATTCACCTGAACCTAAAGATTAAACCTACAGGAGACATCTCCGACTAGTGAGAGAGTTCCCGCCCTCTGTGTCCGGCGTGATGACCTTTAATGTCCCCGACAACCGCTGTAGTCACATTTAGCCGCTTGTTAGCAACCGCCTTTTTAAAGACGAGTAAAAACTTCAAACTTCACAAGTGGAGGTATTACCTAACGTAGTTTATGTGCTCTAACAAAACACCAACATCTCTTCAGCTTGTGTTAACCACAGACCTTATTTCAGGAGTCTAACCACAAACACATTCAAAATCCCCGTTGACTTTTAGACGTTAGACCCCATGGCGCTCAAATGCTAACTTACTTCCTGGTTTTAGGACTCATTCCTGTGGCGCTCTATTCTGCTTCACGTTACTTTGGTGATTTTACAACAAATGTCTTCCTGCCTAAAAACCCGACAGCACTGGATGTCAGTACGCTGCTGCAGCGTGCTTGAGGAAGCTCAAGCTAACGTTAACTAGCAGTAATGAAAAACAGCTGGGCGCCATTAATTACAGAGCAACACACAGCACGGACTGTTCAGAACCAATCAGAACGACTTAGAAGCAATTTATGAGAAGACAAAGTGTTGTTTAAGATGACGACATAATAGCAGATGTGCGACCATGACAGGTTTTGAATGTTGGTTTTGGCTGGCAGCTGCTCGCCCCTCTTTCCAGGACTGCACACCATCACTGAATCTTTTATTGGTAAGTGTTAAAATGAATAAATGGACTCAAGACACGATGCTTCCTCTTTCAGCGTCATGCAGAATGAGGCATTGCGGCCTCAGCAGGCATAACTAATCAATCAAATGCATTATCTCTTGATAGACATTACAGGTAGATCACAGGTTCATAACTCTTGGCAGACACATCTGTATATTTCAAAGGTTTTAAACAAAAAACTTGTTTTTAAAGTGTTTTAAATCCTTCAGACTGAATCTGTTTTTAACACTGTCTTGTATCTTTTACACATTTTGAACCTTAAATTAACTTCTACAATTGTTTTAGTCTTTAAGCCTCATTCATTCTCTGCTCACTTGAAGTGACTCGTGTCGTTGCCGCCGACGCCAGGAGACGTCAACTTCTGGACCAGAATGCGGATCACGTAGATGAAGATGATGAAGTAAGCGACAAAACCATGTTGCTGCTTCTAATGGTTTATGTCTTCTTACCCCTTTAATATCATATATTTTTGTTTTCTTGATTGCATATGTCATTATGTGCATCTACCTCTGATGATTTTGTGTGGGTGCTGTGGCTTTGCGGGAGGGATACGTGGGCAGATGGGTGTTTGAGAGCCTTTATGTTTATGTATTTTGTGCTTGACTGTCTGTATCACACTGTAATGTTGTGTTTTTGTTTTTGTGTTGGACCCCCCCTCGAAAACAAGATGGTTCATCTCAAGGGGCAATCCATCAAATAAACAGAATTTCTCACTTTTTAAGATAAACACACTGGAGCGCTCTCTCATCGTCTTCTCTCTCTCTTACAGTCGTTCTCCACCTAACAAGTCTCGGTGCTGATTCCGGTCCCTCGTGGTCGGCTTGTGAGAGGCACTCACCTCCTTATCAGCCAGGAAACAGGAAGAGGAGCCCTCGTCTTAATCCTCAGAGAGCGTCTCCTTCTGCATTTTTACCTCCGCTCTCTGAGATAATAAGCTCCTCTCAATCTGAGATGTTCATGTAATACAAAACATAATGTACTTTTCTCAACCTGAGCTACCGACTGGATTATTTCCTCACCTTGTTGTCCTCTATTTCACCGCGTTAAGTCCTTGTTTTCTTGTTCCTTTCTGCTTATTTTCATACTTTCATTTTTTTTTTTTTTGCGAATCTTAAAGAACAAAACTCACCAAACATCAAACCTTTAATTCACTCCTCGTTGCATTTTGCAGCATGTTTCCTTTTTCTTAGACGTCTTTATAAACTTTCTTTCCATTACATGTGGTATTTCCCTTCAGTAAAGGACGCGCGTCCTTCATAGGTAAACACACACACACACACTTCTGTAGCTGTAGTCGAGGGTTAGTACTCACACTGGACATGAAGCAATGGTCGAGGTCTTCATCAGAAAAAAGGACGCCATCTTTGATGAAGACAGCGCTCGCTCTCAGGATGAAGGAGAAGAACAGGTTGATGTGGATGTAGTTCCTGGTGCAGTGAAACTTCCTGTACAGCGAAAAATGTTTTTTGTGGATACGTTTAGTTTATAAAGTTAGAGAAATAACAAACAAGTTCTCCAAATGTTTAATGAGTTAATGCTTTTACAAATTACTATTAAAAACATCTACCAGTTTCATGGTTTAATGACATGAAGGCACAAACAGGATATGGTTTGCTACATTGCACCTTTTGTACATTTTGTGTTTTTTTATTTTTTAAATATACAATTTTTAAATCCTATTTTATATATTGTAATATCTTCTTATTCTGTATTATTTAAGTTGCTGTTAGTTCTGCTTTATGTCCTTGTTAATTGTTTAGCACCAACACACCAAGTCAGATTCCTTGTATGTGTAAATGTACTTGGCAATAAACCCAGATTCTGATTCTCATTCTGAAAATGGAATTCAGGATGGGTTCGGCTTTCTTATTCCAATAATGCCCCAACTTTCTTATTTTCAATGCTCAGAGGTACTGCAACCACTAGAGGGCACTGTCCCTTGATAATATTTTCCCGGCGACTTGGACGGAAAGCCCTCAAAACTAAAATTACCTGAAAACAGTGAAGACGAAAATAGCCGATATAAGCGAGATGAGGGAGGTGGCGTAGCCGGCTGTGTACAACTGTTTGAAGTTGGAGAAGTATGTCGTCTGAAAACAAAAAAAAATATCCATTCAGAGAAGTATTAGCAGGTTTATATTAGCATTAAACTTCTCATAACATCATGTGATAATGAGTGACAAAAAAATGAAGTCAGTCAGGAGCTGCTGCATCTTAATGGACTGAATTCACATCGTGTTGATTATTTGAACAATATCTAGAGCTGGATTTTTTCATTTTCATTTAAAATTCATGAACAAATGGATATCACGTCAATGTCGAGCTACATTCCTGCACATCTGCACTCTGCAAGACTTAGATTAAATCAAATCATTGATATATAGAGAGTAACTTTCACTCCTTCTTTGGTTTACTGACTGTTTCTGATTATGTTGCTTTGCTGCGACTCAAGTCTCGTGCAGTCTTTGCATAACATTTGTTGTCTTGCATCTCTTGCCCTACATCCAAAAAACAGACAATGACACTTGACAATACTTTTCACACTGCAATTTGACACCCTGGACACTTTACATTTCACTGCACATCTGTATGAGCACATGACAAAGAAAAATCTTGAATCTTGAATATTGAATCTTTTTAAGGTATAAGCTCTTGAACTATTGCTTCAGATTTGGCAACATAAAGAAGCTGAAGAGAGCACCGTCCCGTCCCGTGTGAACTTAGAGCCGGAAACAACAACCCAGAGGGAGTTTGACTTCACTCTTACCTTAACATAACTCACAGGTATTTTTAGATTGAATATATGATATCTGCTATATTAATGTTTCAAATGCTGCATAACCTTTAAGGCTGCAGAACGATGCAGCAGGATAGATGTGTCCAAACACGATTTGCAATTCATAGAATTCAAAGTTAGAAATCTGACCACATCCTGCAGGACCTTCAGCACAGAGTCTGAAGTGTCTGCTGAGTCCGACTCGACGTGCTCGACCCTTTAGTGCCTTGTTCTCCTCAACGAGCGAGCGAGTACTCACATTCTGCTTCTAAATTTCATATTGCAGAGCAGTGGCTCTTTGTGCTGGCTGCTAAATGCCACATCCTCCACATGTGCTCGAGTGTTTGATATGCTGTTCACTTGTGCACTCGTTCAAAGAATTTCAAAGATTCTCTCGTCTCTGTATGAACATAAAACCGTCCATCTCGACCTCTTCTCACTGACTCTCTGCACAACTCCAACATCGCATCACTTCCTCTTTCAGAGTCAATATTTAGTCGACAGCAAGAGGTCACCGCTCGGGGAAACGCAGGATATTTATAGAATTTAATAAATGTCCAGCGCTGGAAGGGTTCATGCTGATCTCTCAGAGTAAGAGAGAAGTGTCAATCATTTTTTTGTACCGCCCCGCTTGCTTTTAATAGCATCTGTCACAAAGCCGTACTTAACCATAGCAGGTGAAATTATGGGCTGTCGCTGCCAGGCTAGCAATTAAAGTTCATCAGTGACAAGAAGGCATCAGAGGGGAAGGCGTGTATGACACTCATCTTCAGCAGAGCAACAAGGACTGTCTGGTGAGTCCTCAAATATCCACCAGTAAGAGAAGATGGAAAGGACGACATCCTGAGGTGAACGCTTAAACACGACCAGCAGACAAACGAGAGGTCGATATGAGAAGGGAAGGCGGGAAATAGCCAAACAATTAAAAGTGAAAGTACTTGAAGAATACTCCAGCCAAAAACAAGAAAAAAACTGAACTGAAAACTGTGAGTTCAAAAAAAAAACACCCACCTCGGGTTCTGTCACTTCGTACTCTGTGAACTCGCAGGCGTCCTCATAGGACGGGTAGAGCTCGGTCCAGCCGTCCTCAGTGCAGTTCCTGTAGACGAAACCTTAAAAGAGAAGAAAGATAAAGAGCTGTAAGTGGAAAGAAGGAGAAGAAGAGAGGATGACAGTAAACCAGAGGAAGCTTGTACATCAAGACGATGTGTGAGTACAAAAAAACAAAAAGAAATTCTTTATCCATACTCATTTTGCTCTCACTGATTCCACTCTAACACTCATGAGGCAGTGCAGTATGAAGAGTGCAAAGTGAGATGTCAGTGGTGTTTGAGGGAATTGAATGTGACACAGAGATACGGGACATGTTTAAGTGTGGTTAAAATGAATATTCCTGAAGTGTCAAAATGTCAAATATTCTAAAGTAAGATGCACTAACGCTACAAGAAGCTTTTCCTCGGTCAGTCCTGGCATGAGGAAAACCTGGAGAACCAGTCTCTCTCGCTCGAGCCAGTAAAAATTAGAGCGGGGTTCAGATGAAACAAGGACGTGATATGTAGCAATTTTATTTATATAGCACATTTCATTGTTGTTTGGATAACCTGCTGCTGTAACGCCACAATTTCCCAGTTTGGGATCAATAAAGTCATTCTATTCTATCCTATCCTATTCTATTCTATTCTATTTTATTCTATTCTATTCTATTCTATTCATTACAGATAAGCTCAATGTGCTTTACATTGAGGTTAAAAACAAATTAAAACACACACACACACACACACACACACACACACACACACACACACACACACACACACACACACACACACAAAAAAAAAAACTATTCATATGCTTTTGAGAACAGATTTTGAGTTTTGTTTTAAAAGTAGAAACAGTAGTGATGGACCTCAGGTCAGCAGTTTGTTCCAGAGAGAAAGACCACAGTAACTAATGGCCCCCCTCTCTGGATTTTGATCTGATTCTGGGTAAGACCTCCACCTGATGACCTGAGGGTCCGGGTTGGGTTGTAGTCTGTGAGCAGGCCAGAAATGTACCGAGGAGCTAAACCATTGAGAGCTTCATGGACTAATAATAGAATTTTGAAGGTGATTCTGTACGGGGAGCCAATGGAGAGTTCTGAGGACTGGAATGATATGATCAAATTTTCTCATACGGGGTCATAAGGACTCTGTGCTGCTGAATTTTGAATAAATTGAAGTTTTGCTACAGATTGTTTGGATAATCCGGCATATAGAGCGTTGCAGAAATCTAACCTAGTTGAGACGAAAGCATGGACTAATTTCTCAGCGTCAGTTTGGGAAATGAAGGATCAGAGTTTTGATATGTTCTTTAAATGGTAAAATACCGTTCTGGTAAGTGGAGATCTGATTGTCAAAGCTAAGGTCGGGGTCTAAACTAATGTCAAGATTTCTGGCCTGCTCGCTGTAGTTCATGGACATGGATTTGAGGTGAAGATGGTAACTTTCAGGTAAGGGGCTTTATAGATGTATTGATGCCAGTGAATATTGTGTCTTTCAGTAAGAATGAGAAAGGCAGTATATTTTTGGTATGAAAATAAACGACTCTGACATAGGGTTAAGTTAATAAAAGATCTTTTATCTGTTTTTTTCTGCAGTTTGATCCCAGAGAAGAACAAAAAATTTGTTTGCTCACTTTCCTGAAGGCTTCAGGTAACACTGACAAGGCCCGGTCAACTGAAGGCTGTAAACGATGAATTTAAATGAATTTTCATCCATTTTCTCCCACCATGGCCTGCAGGGAGGATGATGGCGCTCTACAGTACTGCCGCCATGACGCACACACAAGGTCATCCGGTGTTCGGTGAGAATGTGCGTTCACGAGAGGGAGGATAAAAAAAAGTTCTTCGGTGATTTCACGCTGTGTGGAATCTGTTCGACTGGGCAGAGTGTGGAGGTTTTGAGTCGTGGGTGGTTTGAGCGATATCCAGCTGCATTAGCCTCAGAATAAGGTGGCGTGCAGAGCCTGCAGCGCCGCAGCGTCGGCGGGTGAACGGCTGGATGTGAAAGGAGGGTTGAAGGCCGAGGCTCCGGGAGGACGCTGGTTCAGCTTTAACGAGCAGCTCCAATTCCTTCCCCATGCTCATGGGCTATCGGCGGTGAACTCTTTGATTTTCCAATTCAATATTTTCTCTGCTCGCCGCCTCCCGTTGGAGAGGCTCCATCTAACCGCTCAGCTTCAGCACTTGACTTCTCAGAGCGTCTGTGGAGGAGGAAAACCCAGCGAGGTCCAGGGACCCACTGACACAAAGTTATGAGGTCATTAACAAGAACCCCCCCCCCCCCCCGATCCGTCGACACAAAGTATGAGCTCAACTTTCTCTACAAGGAGCTGATCTGTGTTCCTCTTCTCGTCTTTCAATCTTGCTGCTGGAAATCAGTCGAGTGCATCATCTGAAGCTGATCAGCCCACATAGTGAACATGCTCTGAGCTGCTCTCTGTGAGAATCATATATCACCTCCTTGTTACATCTAAACCATGGAAAACTGCTTTTAGTGTTAGTGCTGCATGAACTCCTGGAATATTTTACAACAGGACCCCTTATGGACACTTTAGGAATATTATTTTTAACCGCTCAATACCTAACTGTAACTGTTTGATCTGATTTTAATTGCTGATTTATCACTGTAGTAATTTCAAGCTTTTAAATCATTTTAGTGTATATATTTTATTGTTCTTATTGCTATTTTATTGATTGTATTTTCTGTAGTAGCTTTAGCATGCTGTGTTGTTCTCTAACATTCAGAAATGATCAACGCTACAAGTTGAATTCACCCTTTTTGAAGGCCCGACATTCAGAGCTGAGACTTTGGAGGGTAATATCAAATCCCCCAGGAACCTCATTCAGACCCTGGTCCCAAAGGTTTCTAGTCCCAGGGGAGGGAGACAGCAGAGGTAAAGCTGCTATTGATTACTAAGAGGAGTTAACATTTGTGTCCAACTAAAATGTTTTCCCAGTTACATCGTAGAGAGAAATGTTTTCTCTTTCCAGAATCACTGCTGTCGGGATAGATGATTGTGGATACACACCTTTCTATAAACACTCCACAGATTGCCTATTTTACAGATTAAAAAAGACCAGCGTTTGGTTTAGTTATTGGGAGAAATGGAAGAAGCATTTGTGCACAAGAAATTACTTTTTTTCCTCCTGTGAAAATAATATAATGTTTGATCAAACTGACAGAAGAGAAAACATAACGTCATTCCTCATAGCACACACAAACAAAGCTGCAATTTAAGCTAATCTAATTCATCTTATTATTCTAGAGACCTGAATTTATCCATATAGGGAGTATATGTTTTTTAATATCTGGAGTTCTTCAGGAGTTTTCTGCAAGTGTGAAAGTGAAAAGATAACACAGCTCCTCAGAGAGATGTAAATATAACCTGCATGGTCACTGCGCTGAGCTGGAGGCTGGAAGATGGATAAACTGAGTTTAGTCTGCCTGTTCTGTTTAAGTTTTTTTTTGGCTTCTGATTTTTTTTTTTTTTAAATGAGAAAAATAAACCGTGTTGTACAATCATCGTGGCCTTTAAAACAGAACACCAACAGAAAACATCAATGGAGGAGAAACAGCAGAGGTGGATAAAGAGACGGACTGCGGGCAGAGTTAGTAATCATCTCTCCATGACATGACCATCTCTGCTGCCTCAACTTTCCATTTAAGAAAAAGAAAATGTACAAAACTAAACATGTACAATGCTTACAGAATGTAACAGAGTGTCCCCGAGGAGCAACTTGGTTTCCAACAGCTGTCCACAACAGCTACACATCACCATCATCGCAATAAATAAAAGACGTGCAGTAAATACGTGAATATAGAATATTATAAATAATTCCTGCCGATGTCACCATGGAAGATGTGCACTGAGATATGGGACAGAATGTTTGCCATGGCAACAAGGTCTACAGTTTGTTTGAAGGTAAAAATGGTGCTGGGGCGCCGGTAGCCTAGTGGTCAGTGTACGGAAGCTCTGGGCCTATGAGTGGGCAGCCTGGGCTCAAATTCGACCTGTGGCTACATTCCTCCATGTTATTCCCCACCCTCTCTCTCTCTCAGATTGCTGATTCTATCTCCTGTCCGGTCTCTAAATAAAAGCATTAAAAGCCCAAAAATAAACCTTAAAAAATTGAATATTATTCATATGTGACTTTCTGATTTTCTGATCCTGTATTTTGTTCGATGATTACATGCAGTGTTTTATGTCTGTAAGCCTGTCTCGGCTAGACCACTTTTGATCCAGTAGATGTCGCCCTTGAGCTCCAGCATGAAACCAAAACAAACTTCTGTTTGGCCACACCTCCTCCATACTGAAGCCTCCGCTCTCCTCCAGAGACACACCTCCAACCCCCCTCCAAATGAGCGGAGGGGGGTTGGAGTGAAGCGTAAGCGGTGGACAAAATAGTCTTTGGCTCAAGCTCATGTAAACTGACACAGAATGAGCGTGATCTAAAAACTCTTACTAACATCCAAATAATCAGTGAGTATGTTCTTCTTCTTCTCTCTAGTTCTTGACTAAAACAGCTTTTATACACAAGGGAGGAGCCGGCCGTCCCGTCCATGTAAACACGGCTCTGACAACAACACAGCCAGCGGGACTCGAGCTTCTCCCTCATTGTAGACAGTCAGGACTCAGAGACACATTTACACAGGACAGACTTTATGATTTATTTATGTGGAACATGTTGCACTTTCTTCCATTACCTTGAATATTGCCTTAGAACTATAAACATAAAATGAATAGTGCTTTAGAGAGTCGGGCACCACAGAGTGTGGGGAACTGTGATTAGCTTCTCAGAGGTGACTTACCTTTATTATTAGCAAACAGCTGGGAGACGTTGGAGCACAAGACGCTGACCACCTGACCGACCTCGGCACGAGACCAACAACGAATATCATCCCACAGCGTCGGACAACCTGAGACAGAAACACATTTATGAGTAATGAGCTCAGGGTGCAGGATTTCACAAATAAGAAGGGATAATTGGAAAAGTATACTACTAGTTTCTCAGCCGTTTTCCAGCTCCTCCTCCCGGGGGGTTCCCAGGCCAGACGGGATATATAATCCCTCCAGTGAGCTCTGGGTCTACCCCTGGGGTCTCCTCCCAGTTGGGCATGCCCAGAAAACCTCCAAAGGGAAGCGCCCAAAGCATCCCAATCAGATGCCCAAACCACCTCAACTGTCTCCTCTCGATGTGAAGGAGTAGCAGCTCCCTCTGAAAGTCTGAGCTCCTCACCCTCTCTCTAAGTCTGACACCAGACCCCCTCCAGAGGAAACTCATTTAGGTCACTACCAAAGCTCCTGACCATCAGGTGAGGGTTGGAGCGAAGATTGGCTGGTGAATCGAGAGCTTTGCAGATCCCTCTTCACTTCAACGGTTGGACGCTGAGCCAATCCGCCTGTCAGTCATATCTTACCGACAATCAAGACCCTGAGATACTTAAAACTACTTCACTTGGGCAAGGAGTCACTCCCCAACCTGAGGGAGCAATCCACAGTTTCCACATCCATGCACGCTATGACTCTGACTCCCTGAAAGAACATTACATAATGCAACATGCAAGAAAAATAAAATGTAATCTGGCAAGGATGCATACAAGCAAACATGTTTTTAAGATCGCACTAAAACAATTTGATGTGCACTTGCCACCAAATCTTCCTTAGTTAAAAGATCATAAAAAAGTATAAAGAAAAGTACGCCATGAGAAGGCAATTTGAGGAGAAGACTTTTCATCCAATCCTGACTACAGACGGAAAGCTCGACTTTTCTTTCCCTCTCTCTCTTCCTGCAGAGTGTTTAAAATTCTGCCAGCGAGCGACTTGTTCGACCTTGAAACACCTTCTGATGCCACAGAAATGCAAATGCCAGGCGCAGATTCCCAAAGCTATTCAGGGACATTTTGATGTGTAGTGAAACTGACTCATCCGATGTCATTTTTAAAAGGGGTTTCCCCCACACTGGGTTCAAAACCAAGAAGTGGGGGGGTGACAGGCTCAGCCCCTCCCTTTTGCCCTCACACGTCTGACTAGCTGTCTTTCAGCCTCTGTTGCTTTGTCGCTCTGAACACAAGGGGGGGAGGAGGGAGGAAGAGGGAGCAGTAATGAGGAGCTGCCACCACAATGTCTCATACATCAAAGCCGCTCGGCCCGGTGTCAATTAAAAGAGTAGCGCGTGGAGACGCGGCAGCACTCATTCATAATAAAACACAGCTTCTGGCTGCTGCTCCAGGTTCTCCTGCCAAAGCGATGTGATGAGGCAAACATCTCGACGGATAAATGTGACTTTGAACTCTCCTTTCTGGAACATTTTCGACTGTACACTGAGGACTAGCTGCCGCCGCTGACATGTTAATCTGCTGCATCGAGTGAAACTGCGAGTCGTCATATGTGTCTCTAATAACGCTGAAGCCACTCTGTGTTGATTATCAGACTGCAGAAGTATAAAAGGACACCGCTCCTTTCTTTGAACGACAGTGTGTGTGAAAGGATCGCAGCAGGTGTCAGCAGTACGCTCCTTCATTAAGGTGCTAATTAAAGTGAAGCGGCTGACACTCTGACAGGACGATGCAGACGCTGAACAGACTGCTGCTTTCCTCGTTCTGCAGGAATGGACGGATCTCTTTTTAGTCCAGTTAGCAGAAAGCATCCCGAGCACAAAGCCTTGTTTCTCTTCCTACTTTCTTAAATCTTCCTCTCAGGGGTCTCAGTTATCTCGTTGTTATGCGGCCTGTGTGGCGACCGTTATGTAACGTTCTTTATCAGTGTTGAAGGCTCACATATGCATGAACATGCCTGTAAATGTCTTCCTTAAATGGCAGTGGTTGGGCGGTGCCCTATTGTCTGCTATTGACGGGGCGCCACTGCATGTAGCAAAGTGGCTTGTTAGCGCAGAGGTAAAGCATTGGGAATTGAGTCTAATATAGCATACGAATACTGCAACGTTGTTTGGCTATCAGTAACCTGCAAACGACCCCGTCTGTATAGCCGTATAGCCTTGCTTTCGGTCTACACACTCCGGCCGGTCACTCCACGCGGAATGGCATCTCCTGTGGCTAATGTACCTCACACAACCCCCCTAAAAAAACTATCCCTTTAAGAAATAACCATGACAAAGAGCAAACACATGAAGCCTCATCAGAGCTGCGGAGAAGACGGATGACTTTACTCTCTCGGACGTTCACAGGACAGCCGCCTTCAAACTCCACTTATTAGATCATCTCTCTTTGGCAGGTAAACAAAGTCAAACCCCGAGCTGTACGTCCTGAAACTTCTGTCCTGTTTTTAAAAAGATTCACCCCTCTGACATTAATGTGACTTATAGTCGACATCAAGAAGACGTTATGAGGTGAGTTTGTCATTTCTGAGGGGCAGCCGGGATGTGAGACGGAGAATTAGATTCACCAAGCCTCCATCTTGTATTTCATATCTTTGTGTTTTTTTATTCCTCCTCTGGCCTGACCTCTCACACTTCACTCTCAGGTTTTTGTTCATGGTTCAATAAAGGATTTGTCATTCTGTGTGTCATGTGCAGTGCTGCTGCTGCTGTAATATCGTTTGAAATATTACAGCGGAGAAAGCTCCACAGGGACGTCTGCTTCAATATCTGTCCTCTAATAAACAAGTTAACGTGATAAGAGAGAAGCAGAGGTGGACGGAGGAGATGTGTCAGAGGGGAGAGATTCAAACAGAGATATGGACCTGTGTGGTTAAACACAGATTATGGAAACATAACATTTGTTTTATGTTTCAATCTTTTATCTCAGCTCCCCTCCGCTCTGTAAAGCCAACTTTCAGTCTCTAGACCAAATACTTAAAACACAACGTTTACTGCATGTTCAATCTTTTCCACCTCTTCCTGTAACTTTTATTTCAGGCCTCGGTTCATCTGCTGTTCTTCATGTTTTTCAGTTTTCAACCTGTTCGTTCTGAATCCAAAAAATCCATGAATTTGTTTTTTTTTCCTTCACTAATTTGGCACTAATAAAACGAAGGTCAGCTCATAGCTAGCTTTAAAGGCAGGGTTGGTAATTTTCCATTGGAGGTTTCCCTGGCAAGGCCAACAGGTGAGGAGACCGAGGTGGACTCAGATTTCACTGGAGGGATTCTATATCCTGCTGGCCTGGAAACGCCTTGGATTAACCCAGAAGAACCCAGGAACGTTGCTGGGGAGAAGGAAGTCTGGGTTGACTTACTGCCACCGCGACCGACCTCATATTAGCAGAAGAAAATGGACTGATGGAAATATGAAACCTGTATGTAAGTGGTCCCTAACTCAAATTATGTAGATGCTGGAGGTGAAGATGTTTTTATTTGAAACTCTCCGTTATCACGTAGCTGGAGTTCTGTCTCATGCATGGACGGCTCGTTCTGAAGAACTGGATATACCACAAACTTTTTTTCTTTGAAAACTAGAACAAGGGAGCCGTCAAATTTAACCCCTCAAAAAATAAATCAGATGTCAGTCTGTCTTCAAACTGTCAGCCCGTCAGTTCAACTTGAACTTCAGGTGTAGACGGAGACGGTCTGGTGTCAGGTGTTGTTCTAAACCTGCAGGCTGCTTCTGAAATATTAAAGACGCTGACAACTTTCAAGTGAGTTTCAAGTGAGTAGGTGCCACATCAACACAACTTTCAGATGTAGGAACAGCTGGTTTGGTGTTTTTATACAAGAGAATGTTCTTTTCTTCGTTTTGTTCTGGCTTTTCTTATAAAACTTAAAGGTCACATGTTATTTTATAATCCACTTCTCCATGTTCCTCTAACTCTAACATGTGTCTCTAGTCTGTCTACAAACCCCCCAATGATGAGAAAAGTCCATCCTCTCCGTCTTCTTCCTGCTCCACTTTTCAGAAAATGTGTGCTCAAACAGGCCGTTTGGAGATTTTCCCTTCATGACATCACAAAGGGCAGTAGCCCCTCCCCCAGGTGGGTGACACTCCCACAGCTAGGTGTTTGTTCTGCCCTCTGAGTCTGCCTTCTCACTGTAAACAATAGGACACGGAGCGAGAAAGACCGGAGTACGCCCGAGCCCTTCCAGAGAGGGAAGACGCTTAGCAGACGCTTTTATCCAAAGCGACGTAACTCAGAGAGTAAGAACAACACAAGCAAGGAAACAACGTCAGGAAGTGCAAACAAATAGCTTTAAGTCTGATCGGATACACAGGAAGTGACCAGAGGCAAAGCACAACATCGACAGCTGTTCTTAAAGAGTTCTAATCTGCATCAAAAACATCCTAAATATCATCATCTTCAATATCGTTAAGGTTGTAGGTGTTCAAAAAGCTGGGTCTTTAGCTTTTTCTTAAAGGTGCAAAGAGACTCTGCGGATCAAATGGAGTTTGGAAGTTCCTTCCTCTACCAAATGCGACAGATGAGAAGAGTCTGGTTCAGTGATACTCAACCCGAGGCTCTCGGGCCATGTGTGGCTCATTTGGGACTAGTTGTGGCTCATTTGGGTCTTGGAAAAAAAAAAGTAATTATTTAAAAAAGGGAAACATTGTCAGCAGAAATGATTCTTTGAAAGTCATTGTCACTGTGTTTCCCAAATAATATTTTATGTATTAGTATTTTGATTGTGGCCAATATGGCTCTTAAGTCTAAGAAGGCTGAGTACCGCTTGTCTTTTAGAGACTTAGGACCCTGTAGTGAAGGTTGGATCAGAAGGAGGAGGAGACGTTTTTGTCGCTGTTTTGTAAGCGAGCGGCAGAGTTAAAACTAAATGTGATGCGAGCAGTAACTGGGAGCCAGTGGAGGGAGATGAACAGCGGAGTGACATGTGCTCCTTTTGGGGAGGTTGAAGACGAGTGGCACTGCTGCGTTTTGAGGATTGATTAGTGGATGCAGCAAGACCCGATTTAATGGGCGTTGGCAGAAAAAGTTTAGAACCATTGTTTAAGGAGAATTAACTTATTTCATTCAAATACAGATTGTCTTCACCCGCACACGTACCAGACGGCCAGAGGTTGCACAACGTCAAATTCACCCTCACCTTCCCCCCTCTGGTATTTCATCTGGGTAATTAGTTGTGAAACTTGACAGATGTGAGTGAGGACGTGGAGACGAAGAGGGTCACTGTGTGTAATGATGTGTGGAAATGCCAACAGTGAAACAAACACTCAGACTGTTACTCACTGTGAGTCTAATTACCAGTCTCTCCCTTAGAAAAGGACCAGACTGTTAACCCTCTCACTCTGTTTACTGACTCTCTGTTTCCCTCCCTGTCCCCGCTCCTCCTCTGACGGGGTTTCCTGTGAGGCTGCAGGTGTGAAGCTAATTAACCCGAAGAAGACCAGACTCTCCTTAAAGAGGGCACAGGTGGACAAGTCAAGAATGAGAAACATCCATGAAGTGGTGCTGCTCTTCTAAACTACTTTTTTTATTCATCACAGTCAAATAAAAACCACTGTGAATATAATACAGTTATCCATTAGCAGCCTCTTCCTCTTGAGCGGCCTTTGAAAGTCTTTTGTAACATCGCCATTAGGAAATTTCCCCATCACTCTTCTATCAACCGCGTCGCCCATTCTGCCCGAGCTTCGTTAAGTCACATCTGATGGATGCTTTCACTCACTGATGAATCATAGCGCATTAGTCTGAAAGGGTTTGCAGGTGAATCGTGTCCTTGCATGAACCTGTTTGCGTTCATATTGAAACTAAAAACGTTGTCTTTTTGTGCATCGAACGACAGCAGAGTTTTTGTGTGGTTATCAGATGATGACACGGCCACTTTCACAAAAAAATCTTGAATACACTTACAGACCACACAGAAGCAAAAATAAAAGCATCAGATCTAAGGATTGAAAAGCAGCGATACAAATGTTTTCTGAAGCCCCTCTCGTATTGGACCCCTGAGGTCAGTGTTTGCTGCAGCACATTTGCACAGGAAAAAGCAAAGCCTGTGACTTACTTTACCTCCTGACGTTTCTGACTAAAAACGTTGAGGCGCTGCATGTTTATCGCCTTGTCTCTGGGGAAGCATCACACTTTACAGCGTACAGCCTGTCAGACATTCATTAGAAGAAGAAGACGTTCCACAGACGGTACTTCAACTTCCACAAAGAACCAAACAACAAGCACTCAAAACACCTGGCAGGAACATGATTCACTCTTTGACATCTGGATCTTTTAATGGATTTTTTTGTTTGCTCCTTCTCCGATGGAGTCCCAGCGAGATGAACCAGCTGAACGATGTCCAAAGTCTTCATGTTGCAATGTCCAGCTGCACAGCCTCCATTATTCTCCAGAGGGAAAATGGGCTGCGGAAACCTTCTTAAAAATAAACTTGCTATCATTAATAGCTGTGATATCGATTCTGAAGGGATTACTTTAAGCAGGAATTGTTTTGCCTTTATTTGACAGGACAGTCGTTACAGTAGGGAATTGGGAGAAAGCAGGGAATGACATGCAGGAAAGGAGCCACAGGTTGAACCTGAGCCGCCCACATTAAGGCCCTCTGCCCTCTGTACATGGGGCGAGACCTAACCAGCACAGTAGTCCGTCTGCGGCCCCTGGAGTTTTTACTTTACAACTTACAGACATGGTCGATTCACGCTGGTTTAAAAACACAAATGTCCTCCCCAATTATTAGAAATGACTACAGGTCCCCGGGTAATACTAATCCCACTGTGGATAGCGTTTCAGGTAAAGAAATGGTAGATGATGACTATTGCAGATGGGAGAATCATAGTTTGGCAGGCTCTGACAGAAAACTAAATAGCTTTTATTCTTAACTGTGGAACAGAAATCAGAGGAGGCTGAGAGTCTCAGGTGGGGTGTTTGCTCATAAGGGGAGTGTACAAACGCAGTCAACGCTCCAGTCTGAGTCATTAGTGAAGAGGTCAAAGGCGAGTCCTGGACTTGAGTACCGCATTCGACTGTGAAGTGGGAAAAACAAGATTGAATGCGCCTTGTCACTATAAATCAATGAATCAATCAACCTTCATTTATACTGGAGGAGGGATGTTAAGGGACAACCTTCAATGACATCAGGTGAATTATAAAAGCTCCTTCAAACCTCGCCTTGCATTAAAGCACACAGACGACCGGATGTTTCCGGCGTCTGGAGATTGCAGCTTTTTAATCAAAATCATCAAGAGCGTACATCGGCCTCTCCGATGACCATCCTTTATTTGGCAGAGCAGCCAAAAAAACAATCAAGCTGCTTAATCAGGTGAGGAGAAGTCTGGATTGAAGCGGCTGATTGGTCAACCCGGCCTGGCCTTGTTTTCATCAGTGCAGCTCAGGTAGAAGGTAGAGCAGATTCATCCATTATCCTCCCTCCACCGGCGCAGGAGAAACAAACTCAGCCACCGGAACAGCTCGTCCCTCAACAGGCCAGAGCTCCACTCTCCATCTCAGGTGCTGTCTTTAAAGCTGTGTAGACAACAGCCGATATGTGAATTCTCTTTCCGTAGGAGAGTTATGTGACTGGGGTCATTCCAGGCAGGTAAAGCTCTGCTCTCTCTCTCCTCGCTCCATCTGAAAGCATTGATGAAAGCTACAGACTCCGAGGGGATCGTCTGTGCATGACACATCTGGTGTCACTCAGAATTAATTGCACCGTTTTTTTCCACCTTTCTTGTGATCATGCGAAGCAAAGACGGGACAATTAGCTGTTCAGGCAGCGAGTACGAGTCGCTTCAATCCCCAGACTGAACCCCGGCAGAGGCATTCAGCCGCTTCATTTCTCCAGTCAGCCTCGACCAAACTGGTCCTGTTTGTCTCCCTGCTGGCTTAAGCATCTCCCAGCACTGCGTCATGAAATCAATCAGATTTTATTTGTATAGATTCGGCAAAGGTAAGCAATCTCATTGGGTTAGTGGCAGAGCTGAGGGCGCTGAAGTTATTGGACATCGAGGCTGGCGGGGAATCATCATCCCCGACCGTAGTCTTGACGACCGGGTAAAACCGACCTGAAGAAGAGAATATGTTTACCGACTTGCTAATGTTTCCAAGTAGCAGCACATACAGCAACAGAACGGCAGCTTTTAGTAGCAGCTCACGCTTACTCATGCAGTGGTCTCCACGGCAACGATAAACATTCTGTCTGTCATGGCGGCTCTACAGTATCTATGTTGGCCATCAAGGCGAGACATGGGCTGTTACAACTAAAAATAAAAAATATATTTTTCTGGCTTTGATAACTGTTGGAAATATTTGAGGTAACTCAAAAAAAAAAAAGGTTTAATCAGTTTTGAATTCATTTAGATTTTTTAATGTAAACATTGCCGTACAATTTTGTACATCTGAAGTAATGACTAAAAATGTGACTTTTTATTGAATGTTCCAGATGTTGTTGACTAAAACTAGACCAAAGCTTTAATGAGTATAAATGACATCAATTTTGGTCTGAAGATGAAGACTGAATCCAAAAAGAGAACGGCAACAACGGGCTTCATTTGGTCTCCAACATGTGGTCTCTGGGTTGGATGAAATCATTACGGGAGGATTATCTGAGGAGCTGAAGTGTTTGTAAGCCAGATGTCCGGGGTTGTTATCCTCTAATGAGAAACCTCGGTACAGTAATCAATTCCCTGGACAAAAGATCTCTCAGAGCTTTGTCGATTTTTTTTTTTCCTTCCGGCTCCTGACATTAACTGTCGATAGCTTCAACACCTCTCAGTCCTCTTAAACGCCCTCTGAAGACGGCGAGGAGGAGAGGGAGGTAAAAGTGACCCTTCAGCCAATAACCATTATGATGTGCACGGTCTAAAGATGGACAATCATTGACAAAGAATAATGACTTTAATGGCATCTTCTTCATCATCTTGAAAAGCGATGAGAAAAAGAGTGTCATGGAGACAGGACGGACGTGCAAGCGCTTTTTTTTCTCAGCGCACAAACACTCCTGAGCACACAGCCAACGCTTTTCTTCCCAGAAAAAAACGCTAGGTGGACACATGGCCAAAGGTCGTTACCTGCTTTTTGTAACGTTTCTCGAGATGACATTTGGCGCTATACAAATAAAGATGATTGAAATCTCGGGTTGCACTTGAGATGGCCAATAAGATTTCAAGGGGGCCCATGACACTCCTCTGGGAACACCCGTGGTCCCCACTGTGCGACACACACACACACACACCTGTCCTGGTGGAGCGGTTCTTCTCCTCCCCTCGGAGGATCTGGTTGCACTCTTCTTGGGCCTTCATGTGCTGAACCACCAGAGCGCAGTCTGGGTGGATGGCGTCCGTCTGTTAATGGAAAATAAATATCAAATTAACCCTGATAGGATAATCTCATAAAAAAGGTATAGACCGTGCTCTTTGTAATATTGTTTACAAAAAATATTTTTTCTTTGAGACAAACAAAGAAACAATAACAACAGCAAAGACTAAAACAGATGTAGCGCTACAAGTCCTGGAATGAAAAGAACTCTTTAGAAGAAAAGTTAAAAACGTCTTCATTCATCTGGGGTTTTTTTTCAAAGTGAAAAAATGCTAAAAGCATGAACAACTTAATTTAGAAAAACCAGCAGAGTTCCAACAAACCAAAGTGGCACACATAACTCTGCTGTGGGTGTTAAAAACAGGGCGACCCTGCAGGTACCTGAAGGTGCTCACTTAGCTTCTTGTTAGCGTTTATTGTCCATGCTTGTTGCATTTTCACCGTGCAATATATAACCAAAAGTCAAATTTATTTTTCAGAAAGAGTGCCTTGATTTTTCTCTCGCCTTGAATTTATGTGTTCCCAACCACACAGCAGATAAATTACTTAAAGGCTTTATATGCTAATTCTTTGATCCAGCAGATGTCGCCCTTGAGCACCAGCATGAAACCAAAACAACTCGAGCTGCATTGTTGTGTTAGCATGCTAATGCTAGTGATCTTTACTATGCTGGTATCTTCAGGTTTTGAATCTGACACCCCCCCTCACTCTCTCCTCTCTACATGTCCTGTCTCTCTCTTCAGCTGAATTCTTCTTTAACACATCGTTTCACAAACACCTCGGAAAAAAAACAGATGTTTGCTTTTCCTCCCGCAGTGATGATGAACCTCTGCGCAGTGTTGCACCTGACAGCTGAAACATGAGAACTCAACGACCTCCTCTTAAATCCCTGACATCTGTCAAGGCTTCCCATCATGCCGTCTGAACAACATAGAAAGGATGTTGACAAAAATCAATCAATGTTTAGTTCAGTTTGTCTCATTAATTGTCACCATAATGCACAAATTTCCCCCACGGGGGATCAATAAAGTTTATCTTTATCTTAATCTTTATTAAGACTTTTTGACTCCTCATGTTTATCTTGATGCTTTTTTTAAATTCTTGCTAACATTTATTTGTGTTGAATCAAATTCAGAGAAACCCAGATGTTGACTCGTCCCCAGCAGTGAACAACCTCTGTAGGTGTCTAAATCCCCTGACATCTCATCAGGCCGTCTGAACAACATAGAAAATTTGCAGCTGGACCTGAAATAATCCAAAAGTGTGGATTCCCCCGCAGCTTCTCTGCCCTGCAGTCAAATTAATTATCTGTGCTCTGAAGTCACTCCGTCTATTTATTAGCCGTCAGGTGAGAAAAAAGTCCCAATAATTGCCTCGATGTGTCTAATTGATTTTCATGGTGAGGGAATTGGATTAGAAATGTGTGAGAAGACCGGCCATGTGGGACAGATGGAGACACGGCAGGTGAGCGTGACTTTGACCTCATCGTCTCTTGGCGAGCAGGACGAGCATGGCAGGAGGCGCTCGCTGCGATGGACGGGAACACCTCCCCGGCCTGTTTCAGGACATGTTGCCCCCGCAGCTGTCGAGATGTGTTTTTTCAGTCCGTGTGTGTGTGCGTGTGTTTCTTCTTCATGTAACAGCTCGTTGAGAGTATAAATAATAAGATCTTTTTGTTATTGTTGGAGTCTCAATCTGAGAAGCACACTCTGGAGACGGACCTCGCTCGCCATGGAAACACAATGATTGACTAGAGTGACAGCGGGGCGCACAGAGAATGTGGAGGGAGGTTGGGGTGGGATATATAGGAGGAATTATTTTCTTTGCCCCCCTCATTTGCCATTATTCTTCACTTATTTTTATACTTCCTGTGTTGTGGTAATCCAGGGCCCTTTGCCCCTTGTGCCCCTTTTGTCTGCTGTTTTCATCCCTTCTTTTGAAATGTATTGTACAAGGAATTATGATTATGATTCTCCTCTCC